GACATGTGACAACTACCTTGGAACCAATCTGGCTCATTACACACAGCCGTCCGTCTCTGCTCTAACGCACGTGAGCATACCTGTGCCCGGGCCTGCCCTCCCGAGTGAGAGACACAGCAGCGTGTGCCCAGTGCCTGGGGGACTCTCTGAAGGCCCTGACATCATATAAAACTGCCACGGAGAGAGATGCTCAAGAGGACACATCGCTCACACACCGGGGGCGGGGCGAGCACTGGTGTGAGCTTTCCCTGTGAGAAGGCTAGTCCTGGACTCCTGAGTGTGCTCCCCTCACTGCGCTGCCCTGTGCCCTGGCCCACTGCCCTGTGCCCTGACCCGCTGCCCTGTGCCCTGACCTGCTGCCCTGTGCCCTGACCCGCTGCCCTGTGCCCTGACCTGCTGCCCTGTGCCCTGGCCCGCTGCCCTGTGCCCTGACCTGATGCCCTGTGCCCTGGCCCACTGCGGGCTTCTCACCAGTCTCAGAGGTACCACTGGCTGTGGAACGCACAGCTCGAGGACCTGTGATAGGGAACCCTGGGTCATGGGGTTAACGTGATGCAGGAATGAGCTGCCAAAGGCGCCCTCCAACCTGCACGGCCTGTCTTAGCTCAGGACAGAGCTCCCCGCTCTGCCGTTTCTCACAGGTAAACGGGAGCCAGGACCAGATGGATTCCCGGCTGCCAGGTCATTCAGAAAAGTTTGATGGCGCAAAGCAAGCAGGCGTTACCTCTTCAAGACCTTTCCCGATCCTACGCCCTTCACCGCCTCCTCGTCACCTCTCAGCACAGCGAGGAAATTCTGCGGTGTGACAGCCTACAAGGAATGGGGAGTTGACGTCAGACATGCCATTTCAAATCAGAGGTTTGCCGAGTCTGTACAGACCAGGCCACCAGCCCACACGTGTCCAAGGCCCGAGGTTTAAGAGCAAACGCTCCAGAACCAAGAAAGACCCAAATAGGGCTGATGTCTCTTCTCAAAGAACCTCTCGTCTGTCTGATGGCACTCGGCCAGCCTGCGTTCCTTCTCCGCCGTTCGGGAAGCCGAGTGGAGGAGCCGACGGTGCCGGCCAGCGGGGTAAGTGGCAGAGGAAGAGCCTACCACCAGGGAGAAGGCAAAGAGGCAGCAGAAACGTCTGTTCTGGGCCCACCCTCGCCCAGCTTGTTGCCTAAAAGGCCAAACCCCGAGGAAATATGATGTCCTCAAAGGAGATCTTCTAAATTGATACTTGCTCATTAAAAAAACAAACAAAAAACCAGCAATACAGGAAATCGTGAGGGGAACAAAAATCCCACCACTTAGATCCCAGCCGTTTCCTATACAGAGTGGGGCAAAAGTAGGTCCATGTGCACGTTTATTCTTTTAATTCTTAATTATTGTATTCTTTCCCACCCAAACAACTATGAACCTGTAAAACCGACTTTGGCCCCACCCTGTAAAATTATGTATAGATAGAATTTCATAAAGATGGGATCGTCTATATTACATGTATGATGTGTTCAATTTAATTGTACCTGAATTTAAGAGAGAAAACTTAAATTCAAAGGATTGCTAAACTTCAGAGAAACATTTACAGCCAGGAATATCAATCAGTTCCTAAAAGATCCCTCTCATAGTAAGAAAAGGAGGTTAAGAAGCCTGGCCAGAGTGGCTCAGTGGTTGAGCGTCAACCTATGAATCAGGAGGTCACTTGTTTTAGTTCTGGTCAGGGCACATAAGCCTGAGTTGGGGGCTGGATCCCCACTGTGGGAGTGCAGGAGGCAGATGATCCACGTATGTCTCTCATCGATGTTTCTCTTTCTCTCTCTTTTCCTCCTATTCTCCCTCTCTAAAAATCAAGAAATCTTATATAATAAAGAGGTAATATGCAAATTGACCCTCCCAACCTCCCACCACAAGATTGCCGCCCCCACATTATCACAAGATGGCCACCCCAACATTGTCACAAGGTGGCATGCAGGGGAGGGCAGTTGGGAGTGATCGGGCCAGTAGGGTAACAGTTAGGTGTCAATCATGCCGGCCAATCAGGCAGCCAAGCAGGCAAGTGGTTAGGAGCCAGCAGTCCTGGATTGTGGGAGGGATCCCAGATTGCAGAGGGTGAAGGCTGGGCTGAGGGACACTCCCCACCCCCACCCCAGTACATGAATTTCGTGCACTGGGCCTCTATAAAGACTGGAAATTAAAGAATAGTAGAGTGCAACTTATTTAACTTTTTTCCTTTTACTTTGTCAAAACTCTCAAAAATTACTCAAGCACAAATCCTAATACAAGCATGAAATACCAATCAGAATAAGTTTAGTGAGATTTTGGTGCCAGAAATACACAAAACAGGAAAATCGTTGCAAAAGTGAGAACAAACCCCGCTGGCACCAAGGCCACATGCTGCCGGGCTCACCTCCCCAGTGTAGTCCTTCAGGACCCCCTTGTACACATCCGTGCCATTGGGCCTGTTGATCACAACTCCTGGAGTGGGGTTCCTGAAAATCAAAGGACACAAAGTCTGACATGTCTCTGAAACCTCTCTCTGCAAAACAATGCCCTTTCACAGAAAGACGTTAACTGTCGAAGACACTGCTCATTGCCCAACAGTCACCAAGTGCAATGGTTTTAGCAGCTTGGGGATGCCGATCATCCTGTTTTCAACGCTTCGAAAGCGCCAGCCCCAAACCACTTTCAGCACCTGCCGCCCAGTCCCTGCCACTGTCAGGGTGCCCCACACTATGTTCAAAGCTCTACATGGAGCGGCCCTGTGAGAATCCACCTGCGAGTCTGTTTATCCTAACGGTAGGCCCCTGGTAGGAGGACGCCACCCACGAGGGCACCGCGTACTCACTCTTCGGAGGTGGCGATGTCATCGTACATCATCACCACGATCTGCTCGTCGGGAATCCCATTGCGGTGGACGATCTGGTAGGCGTGGCACGCGTCTGCCTGGGAGACACGATTTCAGCAAGCCTTAGGTTTTGCCCAGGAGGAGGCCAGGCTTGGAGTTCTAATGAGCAACACGTTCTTTCTCCAAGAAGGCATGCCGGGGGTCCTTCCCTATTGGTCAGGTCTTTAAATTATTTTAGAACATAAACATTTATATTTTTGCATCCAATTTTTAAAAATCTCACTCCGCCCCATTATCCAAGCTCTTATTCATCAGGCAGTTAACATATATGTGGTCTATACACGCACTCTTATTAGCTAAGCTCTTATTCATCAGGCAGTTAATATATAGGTGGTCTACACGCACGCACCCATGCACAAAGCACCACCACTGCATCCATAGGTAACAACAGCCTTTAAAATAAAATCAGCATTATATCACCCTTACAATGATAGTGGAAGTGAGAAGACACACCCACCAACTCACCTATTATTTATTACTCCTGCCTGAACATAAGCTCATTAAAAAACTCATTAAAAATAAAAAATTTACAGAGTAAATAAAAAACAAAATCAGTGTTCACACACTGCAAATTACAAGAGACTGCTGAGGGAAATTCAAGATCTAGACAAACAGGCATCTCATATTCATGGATCAGAAGACAGCATTAGGAAACTTTTTCAAAAAGATCAGCAGGTTTTTGCAGAAATTGACAGGATGAACCTGAAACTCATATAAAATTGCAAAAGACCTAGAATAGACAAATTTTGAAAAAGAACAGCGGTGGAGGACTTTCACTTCCTGATTTCAAAACTATTCCAGGGAAAGAACAGTCTTTCAACAAATGACGCTGAGACTATTTGGATATCCATATGAAAAAAGATGAATTTAGGCCCTCATCTCAATCTCAACACGAAAATTAGGCCAAAATGGATCACAGACTTACGTATGGGCTAAAACAAAACTATTGGAAGACAACAGAAAATCTTTGGAACCTTGAGTTACAACTGCAAAGATGTTACAGATATATCACCAAAAGTCTGGTCTATAAAAGAAAAAATTGTCTAAATTGGACATCATTAAAATGACAAACCTTAGCACTTCAAAAGACACTATTAAGAAAATGAGAAGACAAGCAACTGAGTAAGAGAAAATATTTGCAAAACACATTATGTAACAGGACTTGTCAGAATTTGCAAACTCTTGTTCTTTAATAAGATTAAAATTATCCACCTAGGGGGAAAAAAAGATTTGAGTAAAGATCACTTAAGAAGATACACAACACACACTCCCAGGCCTGGTAGAGGCAGCCAAAAACAGCGGATTATGTGGTAGCTCCGGACAGGTAGCCCAAGGCTGGTTACAGGCAGCATCTCACACCGGCCTGCACCAGAATCCCATCCAAGTGGACCCAGAACCAGCACAACCAGTGGTGGGCTTCAGACCACAACAGAAGTTGGCCCAACTAACCACACAGGTGGCACACCCAAAGAGAGATCCTGGCAGGCTCCAGATCTTGCTGGAAACAACTCCTCCACCCTACACAGTGGCTCATACAACATGTGATCGAGGTCTGTTCTTATAGTCAGCCAGACTGACGGTTAACCCCACCCACAAACGGGCCAACAGCATCCAAGACTCAACTACAACAGGAGGGAGCACATAACCCACAAAACAAACCTTCCTGGGCACGGAGCTCAGGTGATCTGGAAAATTGCGCCACTGAGCCCCAAAAGAACCCGGAACAGAAAACCACCATAACAAGTTTGGGAGTCATAGAAGATCTACCCGATACACAGAGACAACACAAAAAACAGACAAAATGGGAGACAAATAAACACGTCCCAAATGAAAAAACAAAACAGGAGAAGTCCCCAGAAAAAGAATTAAATGAAATAGAGGCAAACAAGATATCAGACACAAAGTTCAAAACCATTGTTATAAGGATTCTCAAGGACTTAGGAGAAGAATGATCTCACTGAGAACTTAGAGATGGTAAACGTGAAGAAGGTCATAGAAACCATTTTTTAAAAGTCAGAAATGAAGAACACAATATCTAAAATGAAGAATATACTAGAAGGAATGGGCAGCAGGTTAGATGAAACAGGATTGAATCAGCAATTTAGAGGACAAGATAACAGAAAACACCTAAGCAGCAAAAGAACAAACAAACAAAAAACAAAATTTTAAATATGAGGAAAGTCTAAGGGACATCAAGAGTAACAACATCCATGTCATAGACATATCAGAAGAGAGAGCGAGCAAGGGGTCAAGACTATGTTTGAAGAAATAATGGCTGAAAACTTCCCTAACCTGGTGAAGGAAAAAGGGACACACAGTCCAGGAAGCCCAGAAATCTCAAACAAGATGAATCCAAAGAGGCCCACACCAAGACACATCATAATTAAAATGGCAAAGGTTAAAGATAAAGAACCTTAAGAGCAGCAAGAGAAAGATGGTTACTTATAAGGGAACAACCATAAGGCTACCAACTGATTTCCCAACAGAAAAACTACAGACCAGAAGGGATTGGTGTGAAATATTCAAAATAATTTTATTAACCAATATAACTCCAATAAATTCAATTTAAAAAAAAAAGAAGATACATGAATGGCTAATAAGCATACAAAATGATCCCAATATCATTAATTACTAGGGAAATGCAAATTAAAACTACATTGTGCCCTTCCCAATGTCCCACAGTTGAAGAGGTTGTCCCATGCACTAGAAGGTTGTGGGTTCAATTCCCAGTCAGGGAACATGCCTAGGTTGCAGGTTCGATCCCCAGTCAGGGCTCTTTCTGGGGTCAACTAATCAATGTATATCTCTGCACATCAATTTTTCTCTCTACCTCTCCCTCCCCCCGTCTCTAAGATTAATTAAAATATGCAGTATATATGCCACAATGAGGTACCACTTCATAGCTAGACAAACAAAACTAGTGTTAGAGAGAATGTGGAGAAACTAGAACCTCCATTCACTGTTGAGGGAATATAAAATGATGCAGCCACTTTGGAAAACAGTTTAACAGTATCTTAAAAAGTTATACATAAATTTGTCAAATGACCCAGCAAATCTACTCCACTGTATCTGCCCCCCAAAAAACAAAAACATTAATCCACACAAATGTTCTTGGCAGCGTTGTTCATAAGAGGCAAGAAATGGAAACAACCCATATGTCTGCCAACTGGTAAATGGACTGACGGAATGTAGTCTATCCACACGACTTAACATACTCTGGCAATGAAAACGAAGTCCTGACACATGCCACAACACAGATAAACCTCACAAACACCACGCTAACAGAAACCACACACAAAAGACTGCATGTTGTATAGCTCCATGTACATGCAATGTTCAGAAATGGCAAATCTGTGGAGACAGAAAGTAGGTTAGTAGTAGCTGTGGGTAGGGACTGCCAATAGGTGTGAGGGGTCTTACTGGAAACGCCCTAAAACTAATTTATGATGATGTTTGCACAACTTGGCAAATTTACTTAAAAAAATCATTGAGCGTGCACCTGGAATGGATGAATTACATGTGATGTGTGAAACATTTTACCTAATAATAAACATGTAAATTGACCATACCTCTGCTACACCACCAGCCAATCAGGAGTGATATGCAAATTAACCCACCAATGATGACAGTTAATTTGCATACACAGGTGTGGAATGACTAGGGTGCCCCCCCCACCCCCCACAGGATGCAGGTATTCTGCCCCACCCCCAGTCTCTCAGGACCTCTGGGCAGCATGGGAAGGTGGGGTCAGAGTGGAAAGGGGCTGGGCCGGAGTGAAAGGCAGTGCCAGCAGCCAGGGAAAGGAAAGCCCATTCTAGCATGAATCTTTGTGCATCAGGCTTCTAGTGTTTCTATAAAGTTGTATCTTGTATCTTTTAGAAAGAGCAGGTTCAGCATGTTCTGGGTTAGCGCTCTCCCACACTGGTTGAACTCCTCACACTGCCTTGACAAGAAGCTGTTTCCCCCCTGTAATACCCCGCCCCCCCCATTTCATGGGTGGAAACAAGCTCAGAAGGGCTCAGTGCTTCAAACCCGGGTTCCAATCCCCCCATGCCTTGTGCCATCGTCCACTCCACACAGTGGTCTCAAAGGCACATCTCATTCTCTCGTGGGTCCTTGAGGTACTTGGTTCCTCTAACTTGAACTCACGGGGGTGGGGGGGTTCCTTGTATGAATCAAGTATTTACTGGCACTCAAAAGAAATAAAAGTTGGGTGAAACCAATAAAAAAATGTGGAAATGGTGTTGAAGGCTACTTGACTCACTTCCCTTGAACATATCTGTCCTATATGAATTTTCCCCCTTAAAACAGAAGGGCCATGTGAGGTAACATATGAGGGGAGGGCATTGAGCAAGACTTGACCCTTGGGACTGCTGAGCAGAGATCACTGCGGTCAGCATGCCTCAGCGCTCGCACTGGGAGTTCCGATGGGCGTGCTGATGCATCCCGTGACTGCCTGCTGCAGCCCTGGCCTGCCCTTGTCTGCTCCTGCTGCCTCCACCTCGGGCCAACTGTCAGCTACACGGACAACCTGCTTGGAACAAAGACCAATACAGCTGGCACGCTCTGGTCTCAGTCACTGTGAAGGGGTTCCCACGGTCTGCTCATCCTTGTACTGTTGCTATTTGGCTCTGTTGATTAATCAGCAGTCGGCAAACGGATTAGTCAGCAGAGCCAAATAGCAACAGTACAACGATTGACATTTATGTGGCTCTCCAGCCACAGTTTGCCGACCACAGTGCTAAGTGAAAAGCTAGACACACAAGACTACATATTGTCTGATTCCATTTATAAGAAGTTTCCAGAGGAGGCAAAACAAGAGAGACAGGGCAGACCCATGGTTACAAGGGTTTGGGAAGAAACAGGGAGGACTGACTGCAAAGGGCACCAGGAAACTTTCTAGAATGATGGGAATTGCCCTAAAACTAGACTGTGCCGAGGCTTGCACCACTGTATGACTTTACTAACAGTCACTTAGCTGTGCAATTCTCACAGGTGACTTAGGACGTGTATTAGTAAACTTATGCCTTGTGAAGCTGTTTTTAAAAGGGGATAATGGGCCAAAACCGGTTTGGCTCAGTGGATAGAGCGTCCGCCTGTGGACTGAAAGGTCCCGGGTTCAATTCTGGTCAAGGGCATGTACCTTGGTTGCGGGCATATCCCCAGTAGGGGGTGTGCAAGAGGCAGCTGATTGAAGACTCTCTCTCATCGATGTTTCTAACTCTCTATCTCTCTTCCTTACTCTCTGTACAAAATCAATAAAATATAATTAAAAAAAATCAAATATATTTAAAATAAATAATTAAATAAAAGGGGCTAATGAGGCACGTGCACCCTTTCTTCTGATAACACCTGGCTCTCCTCCAATTCCTGATAACAAAGAACTTCACCTTCAACCTACATCAACCCCCATCCCCACCGCCACCCCCAGGCCTCAGATCTTCCTTCTCCACAGGCTAAACCTCTGTCCTGAGAGAAACCCACCTCCAGCCCCATTGCTCCCCAGGACCTACGTCCACAAGCCTGTCAGAGGAGACTGTACCGCCCTCACCTGGGGCTGCTTGCACTTCGGCCCTCTCCCTCTCACCTCCACTCACTGGAGCTGGCTTACGCCCCACCACTGCGGTCATCCTCCACCCCCAGGCCTTACCCTCCCCACTCTCAGAGTGTCGCTCAGGAGTCCCAGCCAAAAATAGAAATCCAGTTCGGTTAAGACAAAGCGCAGAAGCACAGCACTTAGCAATGACTTAATTGTGCCTGGTGTGCAATTAAGAAAGTTGTGATAAGGAGTGCTGTCTTAATCCAAGGAAAGTGTATGGCTTTATAAAATGTATGTAAAGGTCTATATAGGTTCTACAGGGAAAGTTCTTTCAGATGCCTTTTTTTTTTTTTTTCTAAATATAGAGGGGAAGGGAGAGGGAGAGGGAGATAGAAACATCACTGACAGGAGAGAATCATTGATCAGCTGCCTCCTGCACACCCCACACCTAGGATCAAGCTCACAATCCCGGCAAATGCCCCAACCTCCTGGTTCACAGGTCAATGCTCAACCACTGAGTGATGCCAGCCGGCCTCAAATGCTTTTAATGATTAGCCTCCAAAGTCAAGAAAGCAAATGTTGTTTGCTGAGACCGATTTGGCTCAGTGGATAGAGCGTCGGCTTGGGGACTGAAGGGTCTCGGGTTCGATTCCGGTCAAGGGCATGTACCTTGGTTGTGGGCATATCCCCAGTAGCAGGTGTGCAAGAGACAGCTGGTTGATGACTCTCTCTCATCGATGTTTCTAGCTCTCTATCTCTCTCCCTTCCTCTCTGTACAAAATCAATAAAATATATATAAAAATAAATAAATAAATAAATAAAGCAAATGTTGACAGCTGGCTGGGAACGGAGTCAGGCGGGCAGGGATAGGGCCTGAGGTCAGCAATGACTCAGCACACGTGTTTCCTCTCTGCTCGGCCTCCGTGGCCTCAGCACTGTCGCCCTCTCTCATTTAGGGACAACTATTTCGGTCTGCGGCCACCTCTTTTGCCTTGCTTCCCTTTATTTCTATGGTAAGTATTTACCCAGGGAAACTAGCAACACTTAAGAGGAAAAAAAAAAAAGGTTTTCTGGGTGCGAAGGTTCATTGGATACCTACACTTAATAATGTTTAACCAGTATTTTTTTAAAAAAAATATATTTTATTGATCCTTTACAGGGAGGAAGGGAGAGAGATAGAGAGCTAGAAACGTCGATGAGAGAGAAACATCGACCAGCTGCTTCATGCACACCCCCCACTGGGGATGTGCCCGCAACCAATGTACATGCCCTTGACCAGAATCAAACCTGGGACCTTTCAGTCTGCAGACCGATGCTCTACCACTGAGCCAAACCGGTTTCGGCTAACCAGTATTTTTTAAAGTTGGTTGTATAAAATCCAGGGTGGCTGATGAATCAGCCTGTTCACTATCGGTGACCCATACTGAGTGCCTCATCTTTCTACCTTGTGGGGAGGAGGGAGGAAGTCAAGAACCGCTGACTCAGGTTGCTTCTCTGGAAATGGGTCAGGCCTGTTGTTAAGTATTAAAAGGAAAAAGGGTCATTTTGCTATGACAAGTTTCTAAGAAAGCCAGATGTCCTATTCAGCTAGCATGCAAATGTCATTCTTCAATAACCATCAATCTTA